TGGTTTACTATGGTTTATTTATAAATTAAAAATAAAATTTTTGGTCCTTATTTTTTGGACAATACAGTTTTTAACATAATTATTATGAACTTCCATTCTTTATGTAGAGATTTCACAAAATTAACATTGATTTCATGATTTCTCTTACTTACCTTGTATATGTCAAGGTTGTTGATCAGACTTATGTACCTTTTATAAGCCAGTTCTAGAGTTTCACAATCATTTTGTTTGAATTCATTAAATTCAGATATGATGTTCATCATGATACTCTACTTCAGCTTGTTAGTTCCTTTGTAACGAATCTTCAGTTTATCTTAGACCTAGTTGGCATATTTACCTCCATGGAAATGATAATACATTTTTCATGGAAATCCGCAGCCAAGTTCACACAGTTCCTTATCATTCATTAAATTCTTTTTTGAAGTTATCAAAACTTCATCTTCTACCATAACACTAGGAAAAGCACCAGGCATAACACCAAAATGATTTGTATTTTTCGGATTGATAGGTCCTTCTACAATTGAATGCCATAAAGCTTCTTCTAAGTTAGTGAGATAATCTTCCATGCGATTAGTCCATTAACCATAGTGCTTAGCCAACAACATTGTGCTTTAGTGACAGATCTAATGATATTAGCATATTTGATCATTGTTTGTGTTGTAAATTTCTAGAAGTTCTTGAAAAACAGGAATCAATATTGTCATATTCTTCAGAGAGTTGATTAAAGAAAACCTAAATATAATTTGAGAAACAAAAGCAGATATAGAATTGAAAAATGAAAGAAATTTGTCAAATGATTGTACTCTGATACCACTTGTTAGGATGAATATACCAAGATAACGAATTAATTAATGCAACATTTTTTGATGAATAATCATGTAAATAATCAATGAGCTATTTAATTGATCACTCGCAAAGGTTACAAAAGAAATGCTAAAACACATTATAAAGTTCCATCTTTGGCCTTCTTCTTCATTAACCATTATCTTAAACTCACATAGGAATATTGAGTTAGAAAGACAAATCACTATGAATCGATATTGACTTGTGAATGGCACATTCATTTGTTGTTGTATGGAAAATCAATCAATTCTACTTCATAATCAATGGCCAAGAATTTAAAGTTTTAAGATTCACATTGTAAAAATCATATAATTTGTAAAATCTTTAAACCCTTAAATTGACCTAAATACATTGTCTCATAACATAACATCAATCTTAATTCTAAGTATATGATTGAAACAATACATTAAGAATAACATAAGTTACAAGGAAAATGGTTACTCCGATTCCTTTGTGAGCTTTACTAAAAAATTTGTAACTGTTATATCTCTAACAAATATTTAATGATAAACATAAATACTACCTGTGAATATTGAACGATGATGTCTTATAACATAAATAAATTAATTTTATGGATACAAGATTAAAATTTCATGATAGTTATGATCATTTTGTTAAATATAACAAAATGGTCTTGTAATGAAAGGTAGCATTTATTATGGCCATTCTAATAAATATCAATAAAATAAAACTATTTATTTTTAAACATATTTTTTAAAATGCTTCTTTTGCCTCGTGAATTTATCTATTAATTTTTAAAATAATTAAAGTTTTACAAAACATTTACACACATGCTTATTTGATTTAATACTTTTAACAAAGAAAAGAAAACAAATCCAAAATATTTCCTTAAACTTGTTTGTTACAATTATGTTAAAAATCAGCTTATTATGTTAGAAATAAGCTAAATAAGCTAATTTGAATAAGCATATACCCATTGCTTATTGCTTATTGCTTATTCCCACCGCAAATAAGCTAAGAAGCTAATCCAAACACGCCCTCACTTATGTTAGCCACATGTAGGCACACTATCTCACCAGGACACTCAACAACCTATTTAGAAAATAAATTCCAGAGGCTTAGTTATCATGTTTTGTAATATTAATATTTTTTAATGAATATAAATCATTCATATATACATACAATTTCACAATGACTAAGAGAGGAGTAGTTATCAAATTGAATACATTGGTTCAAACAGAAACTGTAATCACATAGTACTAATCTCCTTTCAGTCTATTTTCCTAACTGCACAAAACTAGAGAAATAAATCCATATTACTTTCTCATTTCAACATATAAAATATAAAATAATATTCATCAGAGTAAGATGCTATAATACAAAAATAGATATAAATAAGTTGTAACATCCCGAAAATTCAGAAGTAAAGTTGAAGGGCTTAAAGTGTAAATAAGAAGGTCGACTCGGTGAGTCTATGGATAGACTCGGAGAGTCGAGTCGCGTTTCAGGTCGCGTGATAAATGACCAACTCGGCGAGTCGCATGGGTGGACTGGACGAGTTGGTGCTGAATGGAGAAAACCCTAATCCTGGGGGTTGAGCCCTATATAAAGAACATAATACGCTCTCCCCAACCTCTTTACCTTCCCTTTGAGTTCCAGAGGCCCTAGATTCGTATGAGCTTTCATTTGTGAGTAATTAGAGCCTTGGATGAGGAAATCTTGTAGGGGATCTGAAGAGCAAGAAGATTTAGAGAAAGGGGCTTTGCAGAGATTTGGTTCATTCTCCAGTAGGAGCTTGCATTGGAGGTAAGAGATCTGTTCTTGAGCTTTGTGCATCTAGATTTATCCATTGTGGGGTTTTTGGAGCATAAATGAGGTCCATCTTGAGTTTGGTGTAAGATCTGAGGTTGCTACCTCAGATCTAGGATTGTAGTGGTCCAGGAAGCCATAAAGCTCATGCCCAAGAGTTGTTAGTGAAGCCTTCTTGTCCCAAACCCTAGCCCAAAAGTAGTTTATGCTTAGATCTCTTTGGATTCACATAAAGTTTGCCACTTTACATGATGGATGGCTTGTAGAAGAGTAGATCTATGGATTTGAGACCCTGCATGGCTTGGAAAGCCTCTATATGGGTTAAGAGCTAGTGGTAATCGGCAAGTCACATGGGTGTACTCGGCGAGTTGCTTGAAGATAGGAAGCAACTCGACGAGTTGGAAGAAGAACTCGGTGAGTTGGTTGAAGATATCCTTGGACTCGGTGAGTCTATTCTTGGACTCGGGGATTCTGGTCGTGAGGTCCTAACCTTTCCTGGTTGAGCTATGAATCGGTGAGTCATGGGATGACTCGGTGAGTTGAGCAGGATGTGACTCAGAGTTCGTGGGACTCTACGAGTCTTGGGGCGACTCGGCGAGTTGGGTTGCGATATGGGAGTTTTCAGAGTTGAGGGACTCGACGAGTCAGTGGGCTGACTCAGTGAGTAGGGTCAGTAAAGAAGTTTGACTTTGACTGAGGACTTTGACTTTGACCAAGACTTGACCAGTTGTCTTCCAGGGGTAATTTGGTAAATAATTGGTATTTTATTGAGTTCGGTATTTTGGTATTATTAGTGGTGGAGTTCGTGTCAGAGGTTGGAGCAGCGTGATCTTATCTTTTTAATCAGCAGTTGCGAGGTGAGATATCCTCACTATATCAACAGGGTCTAAGGCACCAAGGCCGACCCTTTATCGGATTGTAATCCGGGTATTGTTGTTATGTTGTTTTTTTATGTTTGCATCATGGTAGTTAAGATGGTATATGATTAGAGACTTGGTTAAGGTCGGTATCCTGGTATATAGGATGATGCTATGCTAGTGACTGGTTAGGTCGATATCTTGTTTAGAGTATATTATGTTATGTGATCTGCTAGATCTGTTTGTTTGGATGTGAATTGTTATATTATTGTATGTTTATGTGCATTTGGTTGCTGGACTGGGGTTGGGTTGAGGCGGGTCCTACTTTGTGCTATATGCCAACATACCTAGGGCGGACCGGTTATCCCGAAGGCCCAGGGAGCGGTCCGGATAGGCTGTAGGCCCCACGAGGGCGGACCAGACATGTCGAGGCTCGGAGAGTTGACCAGGCCGACTGAAGGTCCGGTGCGGGCGGACCAGTCATACTATAGACTTAGAGAGTGGACCATGTGGGTTGAAGGCCCGGTGCGGGCGGACCAACCACATTGCAGACTCGATGGATATGGATAGACTCGGAGGGTGGACCAGGTGGACTGAAAGCCCGGTAGGGAGGACCAGTCACACAGTAGACCCAAAGTGCATGGTTGTTCTGTTCGGTTATGATATGTTATGCGTGGTATATGTGGTTGGTATTTTGGGGGTATCTCACTAAGCTTTCGGGCTTACAGTTGTGGTTTAACGTTTTTTCAGGTACTTCAGGAGACCGTGGAAAGGCGAAGGCGTGATCGTAACCGATCCTCATGTTTATGTTTTACGATATGATTTTGGGAAGACTCTGATAATAATTGTATTGAAAACCTTTTTGGTAATGACTTAACGAAACTGGGTTGTTTTTGAAAAGTTTAAATTGGCTTAAATTTTTAGAGTGTTACATAAGTTGCTACTTCTTGCATTTAGTCACTTAACTATTTTCTATAGTAATGAAAACCATTGCACTTTTCATCCGTTTAAGAAAAAACCATTTCTCTTGGTTTAGCCATTGAACTATTAGTCTTTATCGATATTGCCACTAACCTATTATAATAATGGTAAATAAATAAAAATAATAGTTCATTTGCCTAGGGAAAGTAGTTTGTGTGCTTTTCCATATTTTAACCGTTTTCAAGTAATATAAAAACATGTCTCTCTACATGACTTAAGATAAGATCCGTAGATAACAATTTAGCAAGTTGACCAGTCAAATTGGTAAAAATTTGACCTTATGACCAGGATGGAACAATTTTTAGAAGTACTATGGGCAAAGTTGTACGAAAAAAAATTCGTAGGCATTTATTGAAATTTCAACTAAAAGGATATATTTGTTAATGTGTGGAATGGCCAACTCTAAACTCATCCAAATGCAAATGGTAAATGAAGAAAACACGATTTTGATATGAAATTCATAGGAAAAATAAAGAAGAAAAAAGAAGAAATACCTAAAATGTTGCATTTAGATGATCAACTTATTTGTCAAGATCATTGATAGTGAGATTATAAGCCTGCATCGGTGAAGATGGCTACTTTCAACTTCCCATTTTTACTTCCTTTCTTCTTTATAGGATCATCTGAACTGGATGAGGAAGAAGAGTCATTATCCTGCTTTGAATGAACCTTTGTCTTCAACTCTCTTGTGACAAAAAAAAAATTGTTTATGATACTTTCAAAAAATTGAAGAATAAAGAGAGTTTAAGGACTATTGATGAAAACTTGTCAATATCATATTTTGTTTGTCTTTTTCCCACCATGTGTATGTTTTTCATCAGTTTCAGGTATTTGGACTCTCTAAAGTTACCACACCGCCTTATGTTTCAGTTGTTGTATTTTATGGAGTTTGTGAACCTGAAAGCAATAACACACACATATATATGGTTAAACTTACATATTTCAACTTCAAATATACTATTAAATAATGCATATAAACTATACCTATTCATCCATAATATGCATACTTGTGCACAATGTTGTCAAGCTTTCTGATATTTTAGGAACTGTTTCAAAACAAATGGTGAAAATTTACCTTGTTTGGTGCAAAGTCAAGGTTCCAAGGGCAACCGGCTGTAAGAAACAATAGAAGCAAGTAAGGGCAAAATGGTCCAAAATAAAGGAAGCAACAAAAACCAGCAGCAAGACTATGGCGATGAGGAACAAACACTATATAAATGCTTTCAAGCACACCGGAGTCAAGCGAACTGTCTGCAACACCAAGGAAGAAACGAAAAAGCAAAAGAGGGGCAAAAATGTCCAACACATCGTAAAACCATAATTTAAGCACCACAACATGACCATGCCTAAACACCTAAACACAGGATCAAACCTACATCAAAATATCACAAATATCAAAATCATGCCCCTCTTATCGACATAACCATCACCAAAATCATAAAAAAGGGAAGAAACTAATAAATAATGAAACTAATGTCCGAAGAGGAAATTTATCAACTTGAAATTGGAATCTTACAACCTGTAGGTAGTCGTGTAGGTAGTTGGAAGGCAAATAACCAAAATATTTGAATATGAGTAGTCGATCTGAACTGTTTCTATCCTATAATCGCACAATTACACCTAATGTTAATGAAACCCAAAAACGCAAAATATTTAAAAAAAAAAATACATGCCTTCAATGTATATGCCTTCGAATCAGGAGTTGGTGGACTATACAACGCCCCGAAGCCAGTGGAGAAAACGGAAGAATGGAGAGGCTGTGGTGTTGGTCTAGTGGTTGCCCACATCCAAAGCGATTGAAGGTTTTAAGTGATCAGTGGATGTGTTTCTGACTAATTTAAAACACCATCAGACATGACTTCGTTCTCAAATTTCCACTTAAAATAATTAATTCGGCTAAACTTGGTGAATTCTTAGAAATGAACACAACAAAGATTAGGAAAACATTTAGTAGAACATAAATTTTCATTGAAGAAAGAGCACAAAGGAATATTGAGATTTGGGAAAAATAGCATTAAATTTATACTATTTCCTATTGACAATGATCTTTTGATGACCATGGAACTTTAACTTAGGGATCAATTTCAATTCGAATTTGCAAAAGAGAAAGTAGAAATTAGAAATTAAATTTTCACTTGAAGCCCTAACTCCCCATTCAATTTCAAATCAGCGACCGTACAACTTCATAGCAGAAAAAGATTAATTTATGTTCGATAAACCAAATTGGCTAACCTCTTTGATGTTGTAGAGATGCACACCGAAACATGATTTAGCATCTTGCTACATCAAATCGAACGTAGATACGTTAGTAAGCATTGAGAAGAAGAGCTAAGCAAAAGCCGATTAACAAAAAAAAATCAACCGGTGAAGCGGTGGAACCGGAGACGGAATCTAAAACTGTGGATAGAGCACCTTACACCGATCAAGACACCATGTAAAACTGTGGAGTTCCCGATGACTTAGCCACCGCCGATCAACAGAGGCAAGCAAAGGTTGAATATCGAAGAGGGAGTGTGAGGGAGGAGGGGGCGTCTAGTTGAGATCGACCTGATAAGGAAGAAATTGAATAACAATTAGGAGTTGTGTTGTTGGTAAAGAGATCGACCAATAGGCGGTGGGAAGCAGGTGGAACAGGGAGAGAGAAGCAGAAAAATTACAGTCCCCACAGTCAAAGTATTGGGGAAGAACAGAAAACCTTGGAACACGGTGACACCTACAAGGGCTACCAACGGAGACTCCAACAAAGGAGGAACCAACAGAGACTCCAACAAAGGAGGAAGCACCGTCATTAGGTTTCCGCTTCATCCGGATAGACACCAGAAGAACGACCGATGACACAGCTGAAACGATGCAAAGAAAAAAGAAAACCGAAGAAACAACAGTGGAAGAACAGAAGAAGATTACCTGCGATAGAAGGAAGGAATGAAACGAAATATGGATACAGAATGCGAGGAAGAATGAAAGAGAAAGAGAAAAGAAGAAGAATGGAACACGTGGACATTAAAAGAAGAAGAACACAACACGTGGAAAATAAAGGGAAGGAAAAAATAAATAGACATTGTATGAGACCCAACACACAAAAAATATAAAAGAACACACACAAAAGACAAATACGTAAATTACAAGGACGAATATTGATAAAATTGGTTAAAGTTTACTGTTGTTAAGTTTAGACAATTTTAACATATATATATATATATATATATATATATATATATATATATCTATATATATATATATGTATATGTATATATATATATATATATATATATATATATATATCTATATATATATATGTATATATATATATATATATATATATATATATATATATATATATATATATATATATATATATATAGATGCACTATAAATAAACAGGGCCGATCCAATGGTTTTCAATGCCCCGAGCAAATAAACTTAATGATGCCCTATGTTTAGCAACTAATACATATAATGATATTAATTACTCATAAATATATTCAAAATGCATATATTTATGCAAAAAATCATAACAAGAAACAACAATTAACAATGACAATAAAAAGAAGCTTTAATTTAGAACCAATAATTCAATTTCAAAGTTCAATCATTTATAATCAAATCGACTAGAGTCAACAGATAATTCTAACATGCATTTGTGAAATTTGACAAATACAAATGCAATGTTTTTTGAAAAGCAAACATAACTCCAACTTTAAGTTTGTTTACTAATCTTTTTGGTAAAAATAATTTACTAGAACTATGAATCAGATAATCAAAAAACCATTAGAAGTACAACCACACCCTTAAACATAGGAAGGGTGATATATATAAAGAGAAAAAAAGAAAAAAAAAAGTAGGATTAACTATCTTGCAAAAGGGCAGATTCGTGTTTTAAGCCAAAGAGAATTTAGGTCATTTTCCTCTTGGGTAAATTCAACTTTCAAGCCAAGGGGCAAAAAAACCCAACTACAGATTTAAGAACTTCGGAGCCTCAAAGTCCAATTTTCAAGACAAGAAGGAAACCTTGACCTTTCTTTAGCGCTCTTCACAGAAGTGTTACCGAAGAATACTTATTTCTGATAACTTTAAAAAGAAACACATATATTAATCAGAAAACTTAAGCAAAGAAAGAAAGAGGCTATTTCAGTGTTGTTTGAAAGAAAATAACAAAAAAACGGAACCTGGTTCTTGCTCCTCCTTATGAATAATATAAACAGAAAACCTCAATGCCCCTTAATATGAAAGAGAGAATCGAAAATAGTGTTCACGTTTTTGCTTGAAACGAAATATTCAGTCCCCAACTCCTCACTATATAAAAGATAGAATCAGAAAAACTCTCAGACACTCCTCGTCTTCGTGCGCTTTTTAGCCACTATTGTCGTCTTCTTTCTAATTTCACGTTTTAGATCGCGCCATTCTTACTGGACTATTGTGGAAAAAAAATTTGGTCTAAGTTACATATACCCACAAGAGTTGAAGAAAATGTGATGCCCTATCCTATAGTGATGCCCTGGGCAGTGGCCCAGTTTGCTCTGCCCTTGGGCCGGCCCTGCTAATAAATGAAGATAATTTTACTACATGTTAATCTCTAATGAATTTTGATACTTATTATTTTGTGATATTTTTAAATAATAAATAATATCCACATATCAATTTATGGTTTTTTTCAATTTTTAAAATTAAAAAGTCATATAATACATATACTTATATATGTAAACTATCAAATATAATCAATATTATACTAAATTGCAAATAATATGTTTCTTGTTTTAAAATTTCATTCTTTATTTCAAAATTTTATTTTAAAAAATACTTTTATTTATATTTTAATATTTTATTTTTTTATCAGCCGGTGTAATACACGAGTTTTACACCCGGCATATATTAATTTATAGAATATATGTTGACTTTAGAAGATCATTGGATTAAGTAGATGAACCATCGAGTCATTGTTTTAAAATAAGCTTTTTAAAACTACGTTTTTGAGGTTGAACTGCCGAATCATTGTCATTGTCTCATTGATTTAATAATATTACAAATTTGAGTTCAATCCATCATAAATGGTCCCCTCATTAGATCATCAACTTTAAATGGGTATCTAAAATTATACTTTCGATGGGTATCTAAAATTATACTTTAATTAAACAGGTAATTTGAATAGATGAGAAAACAAAGACAAAGTCAAAGTTTCGTAACGTTCAGGGCTACTCTTATAAATACGGGATGTTCTCATTGGCTCGAGTTGGTCAAATTGATAGTAACAAGTCCACACTATTTCAAATAATCTAATCACCACTTGTTAAATATCCATAAATCATAAATCTCATTTATTTTTCTTTCTGGGATAAAAACAAGAAAGTTTATATCGTAAGTTATATTTTTTTTAACGAATATATTTGATTTTTGTCATTTTTGTTAATATATATATATATATATATATATATATATATATATATATATATATATATATATATTTTCAATTTTGGTTATTATTTAAAGTTTTTGTAATGCTTTTTAGGTAATACACAAAAATCACCATATTTTGAACTTATATATTATGACAAGACCATAATTCTCCAAAAAAATAAATAAATAAATAAATAAGAAAACAAAAATCAAACGGGTACCAAGTCTCTGAAAGAAGCCAAGCCAACCCACTAGGGGTGGGAATCGGTTTTGTTTTTTGGTTTTTCGATGTACTCGAATCGATTTTTTCGGTTTGAAAATTTTCTTTTGTCCAATTTGAAAATCGAAACAAATTGAATTCAAATTCTCTAGACCAAACCGAAAACCGTATTCTAATCCGGTTTGGTTCGGTTTGAAAACCGAGGAAACCAAATGTTAATTTAAAAAAATTTCGAACATAAATTAAAATATTTTTAACAAAATAACTTAAAGTTAAAGCTATAAAGTTTCATAAAAAAGTTGTCCAAAGAGCAAATGGGTTGAAATGATTTTTGCTTTATAATTAATAATTTTATTTAATATAAAATATAAAATATAAAATATATTTTTTAATTAATTGATTTATGAAATTCGGTTTTTTGGTTCGGTTTGGTTTAACCTTCACAAGACCGAAACTCGAACCAAAAACCAAATTTACAATTTGGTTTTGTTTCGAACCAAACCAAAAACCGAATTTGAATATGATTCGATCTGAAATCGATTTCGATTCAATTTGGTTTTCAAATTTTATGGTTCCCGACCAAATAATTTCCACCCCTCCAACCCACCTCTTGAATTTGTTTTTTCTGACAATATGAAATCAGTAGGCATACCCTTATGCGGAAATCCAGCCTTTTGTTAGGTTATACAACTTCCATATTCTCATGTATTTATTAGTTATTACAACGACGTAAACACTTACGTCCTCCATTTGCACTTACGTCCTCCATTTGATACTTGTGATATATTAAGCATATATTATTTCCCATGAAACCGTTATGAAATTCAATGATCACACTACTGAATGTTGACCTCGACTGGTTAATATTGTGGAAAGATGGTTCATATATTTAAAAATACTATAAAAATCTACTGAAATGGGTGTACATGGACATTCTACCTTTTGTGTTGATACGTCTACTTCTAATGATAAGTTCATTATGTCAATAAGACCTCATACAAAAGATGCTTTTACAAGGCTTGTTCCTAAAATTGTCGTTGTTGCAAACTTGGATGTTGGCAAGCCATTTACTTACACGTCTATACGAATCCCAAGTCCCAACTGATTATATTGTTATAATCAACCATGTGGCTCAACCTTAGTCTTTAGGGAGTGATCACATTCAATTCACCGAAAAAGCATTGTCACAAATATATAACATCGGCTTCACCACTAACTATCATCAAACCACTAAATATTGGAATTTGTTACCACTCTATAAATTCATTTATTTTATTATTTTTATTTTTTAACATTATATTAAATAAAAACAAAATACAAACCATAATTTAAATAAAAACCATAATTTAAGTAATAAACAAAATTTAAATAAAAAACACACGTTACATTAAAATTAAAAACACATTACATTAATATAAAAAACACAAATTAAAATCCTAAAATTCTTTAAAAACATAAAAAAATTAAAATCCTAAATTACTTAAAACCATAAATATTAGAACCTAAATTTTATATTTGTCTCAGACTTGTCGTTGAATTTTAAGAAACGTCACAGGATTTTCTGGGTCGATATCCGGTTGCGGTTTTATATTTATGATTTGAAGATCGGTACGAGCTATTTTTTGGCGACGAGCTTCTTCCGCTGCTTCCTTTTTCTTTCTTGGAAAAACTAGAGTTTTATCTATGGTTGTCGCAAGCTCGCTTTCGCTAGTTGTCGGTGCTTTTCCACTTGACAACACTCCCTTTCTTGCTTTGTTCATTCCCAGTGGTCGACGAAGTTGGACATATGGTGGGCCCTCCCCCTCAGTGGCGTCGAAGTCATTGTTGAGGCCGAGTCCAAAACCCACGTCTGACTTAGATGTTGTTGCTTTTTTATTGGAATCGGTGGTAGATCCCGAATGCATCATTTTCGAATATAGAATTCATTTTGGACTGTTACCACAAACTTCCCACGCTTTTTGGTGGCTGAACGGTTTACCATTGGTGGTAATTTTGTATTCGTAGGTCGTGGTTGCTAAAATATTTAAATCTTCGCTACCACATCTATGCATATTTTTAAGTTTGTCAAATATGTCATTGAATTTGGTGTAAGCTGCTCGTGAATCACGCCATTTTGCGTTGATCGAGTCGTATGTCCGTTCCGTTTTCTTTTTTCTAATAACGCGTGGAAATGATCTAAAATACGACACCAAAA